ATGTTCCTGTGAGGCTCCTCTTGCATTAGTGGGTCCTGGTGGGCTCATAAGGCGGCAGCAGTGAGGAGCTCCTGTATGTGGCTGCCATTTGCTTTACCTACTCTGCTCAAGATGATGCTATGTCAGGAGCATTGCGGGAAACTAAAATAGCCACTAGGCTATTTTAACAGGGAAACTCAGGACAATCTTTAGCGGTCAGCCTTGGTAGGATCCTGGCAACATTGACAGTATGGTTGGTGCTCAGACTGGTCTTGATTACATTACTAGCAAAAAAAATGTGGTGGGGGGGGGGGCAAAACAGCCAGGGATAGAGTTATGTAAACACTACAAACAGTATCCTGCTAGTGTAGTAGCCACTGTTTATATTTTTAGTAAGGAAAAGAGGAAAGGAAAGGAAATCAAGCACATTACCTGTTCAATCTTTTTTGTGTTTACAGAGCAAAAAGTCCTATTACTCCCAGCATCCTCTAGCCAACCATATTGCTTGGAGAATACTGGGAGTTATATGACTATTTGCTGTCTAGACATATGTAGGAATGTGCAATTTTATTCAATTCAATTTTAATTATATCTGAACAGATCTAATGAAGAGTACAGCTCCTATTAATATATTGAATGTAAGGAATGAATTATCTTTCCTACCCCCAAAATGCAATTACCTTCAGACCTCTCTGCTGAGTGACAGATCCAAATCTGTGTTTATCGGGCCAGTGTTGAATTTATGGTGTTGAGCTTATATAACTCTGCAGCTGCAGGGTGATTAGTTCAGCCATCTGCAGCTTCAGAGTAGTTTTGGTCAAGAGGAAAAAAAACTCTTTAATTGTTCTTTACAGTAATCAAAAGAAACTAGAAAGTATGACCATTTTTGGAGAAAGACGAAAGGAAATGTCCAGCTAAGAATTTAAGGGCTGCAATCCAATAAATATATCCCTCAGAGTAAGCCCCATTAAACACACTGGGACTTACTTCTGAGTAAATAAGCACAGGATTACCTTGTTAGCTTGCAATCTTATATCCATATCCTGGAGAGTGAACTCTAATGAATGTAATGGGGCTTGTTTCTAGTAAACAACTGCTTCAGGAATAATCTGCCCACACTGTAGCAGTGTGTGTTTTTGGCAGGTGTTCAGTTGCTGTTTCTTATAATGGCGGCCCCAAAGGCAGCAGCCAGTTTTTATAGTGGCAGCCATTTAGAACTTCCTAAAATTCAAAAACACCCCAGGGGAGGGGAAACAAAATGGTGGTTGCTCTGATTTCCCTTCCCGCCAGGAAGGTTGTTTTCTCACCAGACAATATACCCAAGATAAAGTAGCTGATTTTAGAGTAGGCAAAATGGCTGCAAGATAGTCCTTATCTGTTCAGTACAACATTAGCATCAACTGTCCAATGTCTTATGGCTTTTTCAGCTTTGCTGTCTGAGAGACTACTAAACTGGAAATATTGGAAAGTAAATCAGACAACTGTTGTATGCAAGACATCTGTTCCGCCTTGGCCTTTCACTGGAACTAGCCTTGCAGGGATGCCACACGAGCACTTTTGCATCAGCAGGACAATGAGGGCATCTGCCACTGCCCTCAGACTTCCCTGTTCCCTCTGTGCTGTTGGGATCATTTGGAATAGGAGGCATTGGAAGTGGTTACTATGCAGAAGCACCCTCAGAGCTAGTGATGTTATAAAAGTGCATTGATCCAAGATTTCATGTTTGTCTACACATACTGTGCTATTTTCAATTTTTATGGTTGCTGTTGTGTTTGCCATTTTTCTACTTATATTATGTATTTTTTATTTTATTATTAGATTTATACCCCACTTTTTTACTTTTTTTAAAGAACTCAAAGCAGCTTTCCTCCTCCTCCTCCTCCTCCTCCTCCTCCTCCTCCTCTCAGTTTTATCCCCACAACAACTCTGTGAGGTAGGTTGGACTAAGAGTCTGTCACTGCCCCAGAGTCATCCAGTTGGCTCCATGGCTGAGTGGAGACTAGAACACAGATCACCTGAGTCCTGGTCCCACACTCTTAACTACTATGCTGCAGTGCAGTTCTGAACAGTCTATAAAAAGCTTAAATAAATAAATAAAACATCACTTCACTTCAACAGCACACTGTGAAAGGTTACATTAAGATTAAACTGTGGTTCAGATTGAAAGTGTTATTCTTAAAAATATGGTACGTTTATTCCCCAGCCAAGATTTTTGCTCAAAGAATAATACCACATATTGGAAGGACTACAAATATATACACAGCTGCTTAAAATATCTTGGTTCATGCATGGGTCATGGTGTCAATATTTATAATATGTTATTGGAGTTATTTCTTGGGACAAAGCAAATGATACATCTGTTATATCAGTACATCTTTCATATCAGACATGTTGATACAAATTGGCATTAATTAATTAAAGGGATGGATAACATAATCAAACTGGCAAATGCTACTTTATTATAATATGGAAGTAAATTGTCTTACCTCCTAACAAAATAGGCAACCAACTACAAAGGTTGGTAAACTGATCTCAAGATGGGCGTTGTGAGATGAATACCATATAAATATTGCCATACAGGCATAAATATAACTGTGGTGACTAAAAATCATACTCCAATAAGGAGACAAAGACATTTAATCCCATTTATTTTAAAGGATCCAAGGTAAACATATATCTGATTTCTGCCTGTGCAGTTTAGTGCTCCTGATTATGGGTATTTAATCTCACAGTATGAAACTAACATGATCACAGTTTAAAATATTACTATTATACTGGGGAGAAAGCATCACAGGGAGTAATTTAAGAATAGAAATGGACTTCAGTTTAGGGACTGCAGAGTGAAATGCTGAACTTCATGAACAGTTTGGAATAGGGAAAAATGTTCATCTAACACATCTATGTGTTAAGAAAATAAGGTGGGAAAAGCACACCCCTTGCATCCTTTTTCTCCTGCAACAACAAATTTGAAAAGTGTTGCAATGATTAAAATAAATGTTCAGGAATAAACTAACAGCACAAGCAGGACAGATATCACTAATCTGTTGTGACTAGTGTCTCCAACTTTGTTCAAAGGTCTCCTCCCTCCTGTTACTTTTATGTTCACAACCACAAGCACCTTTTATTTCTTTAGAGTTCTGTTGAACACAGTTCAATGTCAGGTTGTTCTTCTGAGGTGGAGATAGCCATCATTGGAGCCAAAAGGCACAGTAGGCATTGCAGATGCTTTGCCTTTTTACGCCACTTTCCAACCCATTCTTTGTTCACCTTCCCTCACATTCAGCTGACTACTCTCAGTCTGTTGGTTTCTTTCTCCCTCCCTGCATTCCTCCTGGTCCAACTTCACATGTCACAGCCTTGCTCACTAACCATCTTCCAAGAGCATGGGTGCCTGGAGGCAGCAGCTGCTGGCACCAATCCAACCAAAAACCTGCGAGGCAGGTAAACGAGGCACTGGGCAGGTTGTGTACTGAGGCCCACCTGTAAGTGGGTTGAGGTCTCTTGCTGGTTCTCAGCTCACTGTTTAAGAAATGCTGTATTCTATTAACATTATCTCAGTCCTGTGCACACAATTCAGTGTTGTACACCCTGGACAAGATTGCCTTGCCTTGCCTATGTTTTTGAATTTTGCACTGCAACATGAGTGTTGTTGTTTTAAAGGAATCCACAAGGCATTGCATGGCAATTAGCACAGTCGAATTATGTTTTCTTGGACGGATTGCTTCTTGGCTAAGCCTCAGCGATCCTATGCAAAGTTACCTGGGTGGGGATAAGCCTGATGGATTCTGTGGGACTCGTTCCCGAATTAATTTGCATAGTATTGAACTATAAGTGAATGTGTTCTAATTCTTCACCGTGTGCGCGCGCGTGTTAATTTCCCCCCTTTAAGTTAAAAAGAGAAAAAAAAATAATCTAATGTAAAGGGGGGGGGCGAAACGCTGCAGTCTATATTTCATACCATAGACTTTTAATCTTTAGATTTACAGATGCTAATCCTAACGCCCTTTTGGAAGACTGGACGGAACTGAGAACTGCTTCTTTAGATCAGTGCGAAAAGCTACGATATTATACCGTAGCTGCGCTTGGGAAAAGTTTGTCCTTCCATCCCCGCGTCCCAAACGGTCGGAGGAAAGTTTCTAATCCAGATTTGAATACGCACATAACAGAGAAAACCACAGCCTTGAGTTTACAAGCGCTGAGCAGCGCTGTCAAGGGCAGGACATTTTGGAGCGCGGTTATATGGTCACCATAATTTGACGGCACATAAGAACAATACCACACGCACACAAAAGCTGTGTTTGGCTTGGGGGATTGGGTGGGTCTCAGAGAACAATTTAAGAGGCTTGATCTTTGTTGTAGCTTGTTTTGTGTGAAGAGTTTTTCCGGAAATAAACTATTCCAAGCTCCGTTTGAAAGGAGTGGCTAACGCAGCAATCTCGTACGCGTTTAGACAGGCAAATAAATAAGCCCACATTTCGCAGCATGACCTTATGCCTGGGAACTGTGTGACATTTTCTATCCAATCATACCCGGGAGAGCGCCTTGAGACATTTTTTCTCAACAGTAGAAACATTTCGGAATAGTAGAAACACTTTAAAATGTTTAAAAACGCACCGTCATCACCTCTATCCTGCCCATCAATAAAATCTGAGTTAGAAAACTTAAGAACAATTTTCTTTTCTGCTACATATTGATTCCGAGTGACCAAGCTGATAGATGCTGTTCTATCATAGGAAGACAAAAAAAAATCTCGTATTTTAACTTAGATTTTTAGAGGCAGCTATCACCTTTCTTTTTGCCCTGCCAGAAAACCGCTCAGAGTGAACCTAGAAATTTCTCATCCCGCTAATGAGATGAGTTCTTCTAATTTCTTATCTCTATAGTGCACTAAACTACCTCTGTGGGGCAGAACAGCCAGCAGAAACGCTCTTAGAGTGAACGCACGCTATACAATAAAGATATTAAGGCGCATGCGCTTAATGCCAAGGCATTTCCTTCCGTTTTGGGGGGGAAATCGGTCGATTCCAACTACGCATGCGCAATAGTGGCATAGAGGAGCCGGGTGACGAGGAAATATGGCGGAGCCAGAGTAAGTGCTTCAGGCGTTTGGTATATCGAGGGAGAATCTGCGTCCATCCCCAGCAGGGTGGCTTTCTGATACGTCTGTGGGATAGACTTGAAGTCAGATACGTGTAATAAGAATGGGTGTCTTTGAATGTACGCTGTATTTGGTTGGAAAACTGTAATATACAGGAAATTACTGCTAATAGGAAGCTGTTTGTGGGCTTACCAGAACATGCGGACCTTAAGTGAAAGGGGCTTCAGAGAGAGACAGTGTCATGAGATATTTCCGAATTTAGAAACTACTGGTGAGGGGGTGGAAATCCACATTCTACCTGCATTGAAAAAAATTAACTGCTGTTCAGGTTTGTTGTTTTTTACTAAACATGCTTTCTTTTGAATATGTTCTTGGATGTTCCCTCCGTTGCCTAACCTGCATTCACTGTTTGTTTAGACCACAAAAGAAGATAACTTTGGTGCCAGAAAATCTACTGAAGAAAAGAAAAGCATATCAGGCAATCAAAGCCACCCAGGCAAAGCAGGCACTATTGGACAAGAGAAAGGTAGGGAAAATATAATGTAGGGTACAGCATTCTACAGGTGTTTGTATATTAAATATAAAATCGGCTCTGGTGTGAGTCTTTGCAGGTTTTAAACTTAGAAGACTATTTGATTAAACAAATTGATTCACTAAAGGTACCGTGTAAGAAATATAGAGTGAACTGAATATTAGAGAGTGGAAATGAGATTTAGGTTAATATTATTGAAAAACTTCTAGAAATAAAGTTACAAGCCTTAATGCTTAATGTACACTCATAACGTTTCCTACTTGGGCTTCTGGGGATTGGTGTTGGTCTGATAGATTCTCTGGCCTTCCATTTTTTGTGCTGTAACTCTGAGGATAAATACTTCTCCAGCTCTCTTTCAGTTGCAATATCTTCCCTTTTGGTTCATTAGAAATTTTGGATCCTCTCTTCACTAAGCTTAACAAAGCCTTGTCTGAACCATTTTAGTGTGGCATATGCTTTACATCTTATAATAGATAAGTCAAGCATGTTGTAGATATAGTCACCTCTAGGTGATGCCACTTTAGGGCAGCAGAAAGAAACCTGAATATGCAGTCTCCAAAGCAGGGGTCTCAAACTCGCAGCCCGTGGGCCCATTGCCGGGATGGGCGGTGCACGGGGGAGGAGCCCTGTGGCCTTCAAAGCGCCAGCGGCGCCCGGGCCGACCTCCGGATGAGCAGCCCACCACCACCACGGTGGTGGAATACTTGATGCGGCCCAGCCTCACCCAGACTCTACTTCCAGTGGCCCCCAGGTAAGTTGAGTTTGAGACTCCTGCTCTAAAGGGTCTTGTGGAATGTTAACGACTAAAAGTTATGTTACGGCATAATCTTTCATGGACTGCAGGACACTTAATTGGGTACATTAAGTGTTACACTGAGTTGAAAGCATATATAACCAAGGCTGGTGGTGGATGGGGAGGAATTGACTTCAAAGGAAGTACAAAATGTACCTACAGTGACATTATTTATGGTATGGATCACTGTATTTTCTACATTTGAATTCCCTTTCACAACACTGTTTACTATTCTGTCTGCTCTATGTATATATTTTGAACTTGGAATAAACTGTAGTCTAAAAGTTTGTGCCACAAAAAAAATCTTTAAGTTGCCACAAAACACTTTGTTGGTTTTGATACAATGGGCTAATGTGATGGCTCTCTTGAATATTGAAGATGTATCGCTGACCACATCTGACTGTACGAAGATATAATGAAAAGCACTAGTAATTCTGAATTCTTGGCTTGAATTAAATTGCTTATATGCCTTCATATAACCAAAAACCAAATAGCCATTCTGTCTCATCTGCTTTTACACTGTATTCTCTCGTCCTCTTCATAGTCAGTCCCTGACCTCTCTTTTTACTCACCTGTCAAATCTACATTTAAAGCTGCTTAGGCAGAAACTATATTGTTCTTGAGTTCTGTGCAGCAGCTGGCAAGTCATTGGTAGTGTGCAGATACCTGGTATTAAAACAGCATGTTAAATTTCTTTAAGCATGACATACAAAACTGGGTACAAATAGTGATGACAAAAATAGAATTATGGTAGCTTTAAAAAGAAACCTTTCTTATCTTAGCACCAAAAAGGAAAACAGATAAAATTCAAACGGCTTGAGACATTTTTGCGTGACTCACATCGAAAGCACAGAGATGATGTTCGTTTGCGGCGTATGGAACAGAAACCTGGAGTGCTGCTGATGCCTGAGGGACACAAGCTGGCATTTGTTGTACGGATTGCAGAGTAAGAAACACCTTTGGATCATTCTCCAGTAATCTTTTGGTTCTTTTTGCTTTGCTCATATCTACTTTGATGCATATTGAATGCTTGGTGAATAAAACTAGAAATGACTATGTGCGTGTTCAGCAATAGGAGAGTTCTTTAGTAATACTATATATAGTCTAATTGGGCATGGAAAAAAGTAACAATTTTTCCATTTTAAAACATGGTATATTTAAACTTAGTGTACAATGCCCATGCGTACTTCTGAGTTTCTTCTTTCACTAGAATCCTGTAAGTCAGACCATTATTTGTCTGAAGTAAAGATGAGAGATAACAAATACACATGGCCTTCTAGAAAGCCTCAATGAGCACTGGACTAAATTTGGTATATCTTTGTGATACGGGAAAATGCAAAGAGTTTTGGAGTTTGAAGATGTTTTCTCCAAGATGAAAACTTGGCTACATCTAAAGTTTGTTTTACTTCTTTGATTTAGAATTAAAGGGGTGAGTCTTCAGGTGAGACATGTCATACAGAGGCTACGGGTGAGAAAGATTTACAGTGGCACATTTGTTAAACTGTCACCAGCGTCACTAAGAATGCTGCGAATTGTGGAGCCTTACGTAGCATGGGGGTTAGTATGCTTTTGCTTCTTATTTTGTACTGAGAAGATCACTCAAGGAAATTAACAGACTTAAAGTCCTATCTCTGTATTTCCTTTTGTTTGTTTTCTATATTGCTGTTCTGTGATTTAGTAATGAAAGACAATATTGATATTAAATTGTATTTGCATTGCTGGTTACAGATTCAACAGCTTAGTGAGCCCTGTTTGAGTGCCTATTATAAAATGGAACATTTCTTATTGAGATATTGTGTTAGCCATACCCTGCATCCAAATGGAGAGAGATTTGTGCTTCTGATGAGGGATTTAAAAGTCAGAAATATTTAGCAAGTAGCAGAGAATGTAATGTATTATAAAATGACTCTTCTTGTTATATTCTATCTGTTGGACCTAAATATTCTCCAGTTAGCAGTTCACCATTACTTGTAGAAGTGAGTTGCAGTTTCAGTAGGTTGTCTGTTTAAATTTCTGTAGCAACATACCACCAATTTTATATTAATGCAGATATCCCAATCTGAAATCTATCCGAGAGCTGATCCTGAAACGAGGCCATGCAAAAGTCAAGAATAAAAAGCTTGCCTTGACTGACAATGTGCTGATAGAGGAACATCTGGGTAAGTGATTAAATGAAATAGGAACTGAGAGGTATAGGACATGGTAAACTTAGGGGAAGCCTGTGCTTCATTTCTGTCTACCCAAAGGGTAGTTAAGTGTGACCTGACGAAGAATAGGAACTACTATGTTTCTAAAATTCTCTTTTTTATTTCCTTAGGAAAGTATGGTATTATTTGTCTGGAAGACCTCATTCATGAAATTTATTCAGCTGGGAAGCACTTCCATGAAATCAACAAGTTTTTGTGGCCATTCCACCTGTCAGTGGCTCGACATGCTGCCCGTAATAAAATAGGGTTCCACAAAGAGATAGGCGATACTGGATTTCGAGGCAATGGGATCAACCAGTTGATACGTCATTTGAACTAGAACCTGGTGGGTGCTGTTGTCAAATCACATATGAGGAATGCATAAGCTCTACATGGCCTTTGGCTTTGTGCTTCTGGGGAGTTCTGCTAACCCACAGCTGATCAGCCAGCAACTGTAGGGTGGACAAGAGATAGCTAATAAAAGAAGAGAAGTTGATCTGCATTTTGGGATTGCTGCCAGGAGTTTGGGGTTATTTTAAAGCCTGCCCTCACACCCTGAGCCATACTGTTGCTTTTCCAGATACTGTTAGTAGTGACAAAATAGATTACAGGGGAAGAGGGTGCAGAGGTTTTAATCTTGTCTCTCCCCAGCAGTTCTGTCCCGATTTCAACACCCCTATCCCTTTAATGCTTAAGGGTATGTGTGTATGATTAAATCTTGTGTACCCCTCAACCCACCACTTTGACCAAAATGTCACCCTCTGAGGCAAAAATATTGCCCTTGAATTAAAATAAATTTAAGCAGTGAATTTAGGAGTTCCAGTGTTGTTTAAAATAAATCTCTGGGCTTTCATCTCTTGGATGGTCAATTATCTGTTGGAAAGTTACGAAGTTAAAATCTCAGCCAAACCATTTTTATCTTGTCTGTGTCATCAGCCACCTTATTTATTATATTTATAGCCTGCTAGTTATCCTTTCAAGGAACTCAAGGTGGCTCACATAATACTCCTCAATCTTATCCTCACAGCAACGACCTTATGAGGTAGGCTGAGCTGAGTTTGTGACTGGCCCAAAGCCACATAGTTAAGATTCATGGCTGAGTGGGGACTACAATTCAGATCTGCATCCCAGTCCAGTGGTTTTTAGAGAGTGTTTCATAAGACTCCAGTCATAATTATAGGAAGTTCTAACATTCTGTATATTCTATTTTTTTCCAGAAAGGTAATCAAGAACAGTATGGCAATGTTCTGGAAGCATTTATTTGTACTCTGTGATGTACATCTGTTCTTCAGAAATGCTCAGGATGGTGCAGCACTACATTGTATCTGTTCTCTTTTAGATGCTTTGAGATGATAACATAGCTGATGAAATGACTTCATATGCATTGGAAGACATGTAATGTGTGACTTACCTGCTACATTCCATCACAGATTTGTACATTGGATGGAATGGAAAAACCTAAGAGAAGGCCTTTTTACTTCTCTCTGAAATTAATAGACATCTGCAAAGACATTGGAAAAGCTTTGAAGCCAAAGTACTGTTTTTGTGTTCAGTTGCATTATATGCATCTTAGTTACTAAAATGGAAGCACCTGCCATGTTGGTTCCTTTCATACACCATCCATTCTGCTAACATGTAATTATGAGAAGGAAACCTAATATAAACTAAACCTGGTGAAATGCTTTGACAGTTGTGATCTAAATGCATCAGGATCACCTCCCTCAGGATTGTCTAATCAGCTGGTGCTTTACTTTCTTACCAAGTTTCTTGATGGCCTGCCCACATCTCTAAAATTGGTATTTTAGAGGAAGATTGTGCAATCTCCTTTGGTTTTTTCCCAAAGAGTAAAAAAGTACAATATATGTGTAGTAATAAATTATAACATTTTGAATGTAGTCCTGGAACTATACTTGTATGTAGAGACTCTGAAATAAAAAGCTTTATTAGTTTCTTCTTATTGTGGGACGTTTTTCCCCCTTACAAATGCCAGAAATGGATTTGAGAACAATGTAAAGTTCTGTTTGTAATTAATGTGTTGTCTTTAGTTCTTGCACTTTTGGTTAGAAACAAAAGAGGCACTTGTTCCTATAGCTTCTGGAAAGATAGCCTTAATAGTATGCCATTCATCTTAATGGGTAATTGCTGAACTATGTAATCTAATTTAGAACTAAACCTCTCTGAACCTAAAAATCGGAATCAATCTAAGGTTATCCTGAATGTGTAATGCAATGGGCAATATCCAATGGGGTCACTGTGCCTCTGCAGGTACTTTTTGGTTTGTGGAAACCATGGCCCCCTCAGCAGGCAATTGTCACTTCTTTTTTTTAAAAAACCCTAAGAACACTGGTTTCATCAAGGCAGGTTAGTAAAGCTCCCTCAACTTCTGGTAACCTGTGAATGTTACAGCTCTTATTAGGTTATGTTTAGAAATATCAAAGCCCCATTGCAAGTATATGAGCACAAGAGGATATTATCTGATGTAGTAATGTTAAGATTATACTCCACTGGTGTTGAATTTGTAATAACTACTAGTTTGCTTCCTTGAATTCTTTGTTTTGATTGGTCAACCAATTCTGAAATATTCTTAGCTTCTTAATATATGAGACAATGAGAAAATTGTGTGTGCAAATTTAATTTAGGAAGGTGAGATCTTCACTTAGTGAAATTTAGCTCACTAGTACTAAAACCTTTATTACACTGCAGAGGAGGGGCTGAGATAACATTTCTTATATAACTGTATTCTACCTCTATGGAAAATGAAAATGTCTCCCAGAGCATAATAGCTTTAGGTAGATCTTGGATCCAGATGCATAATGTTTGCTCACTTGACAATTGTGTTCTACTTAGTCAAGCTGAGTCTGCCTGGAAGCCTGAGGGTTGCTCTGTTGGCTTCTCATGCACATTTAGAAATTATTTTCTTCCCCCCAGAAAGATAAAAATGCCTCTTAAAAGACATGAAATGTATTTACATGCTGTTAATGTATAACACTATGTTTGAAGGTTTTGTTAAGTACAAAGACCTTTGGTTGAATCTTTGAATAGAAGGGTTGTTTGCAGAATGTCACTCTGTCCGGTTTTCAGATGTTCCTGACCCACAACTCATCCTCTTGCAGAGGATGTGCGATGCTTTAAGGAGGCAAGAAGTGTTGCTGCAGGAAGTCAGTTTGCCATTCTAGTTGTGTATGCCTAAATCTATAGCCAGTCCCTTGATTTTAATTAAAACTTAAAGTATTTATTCAGTGGTAAGAGATGAAACAGCAAGATGCTACATTTGAAGTGTTTACATATTATTTGATCTTTCCCTAGTTACAAAGTTTGAGTATTGATATCTGCATCATGCTTAAACAAGCTCTCACTAAGTATATATACTTGAAAATAGCTCAGCTTTACTTCTGTAATTAGGTTCAAAAACAATTCCTGTTTAAGTATCCAGATCTCCAAGGATGGCATGTTTGCATCAGTTAAAATACAGAAATACTTGTGTGAATTCATTCCTTAAGTTGATGTATTTCAAACAGTGTAGTTAATAGAAGATGTAAGAACTGAGGTGTTAGTGTGCAGTCCTCGCACCCCTGGCAGGTGCACATAAGCCTCAAAACATAGACCTAGATCACTGCTGGTGGAAGCAAGGTGCAGGAGTGGTGGTTGTGGGGGAAGAGATGTAGAGCTTCCACTTCTTTCTGCACCTACTGGGAGTGGGGGCTGATCTTTCAGGCCACAGGACTGAGTCCTTAAAGGCTGAGCCACTACAGCATACTAGCAGTACCTGCAAGTTTTCTTTGGAAGCCCTCTTTGAAAGAGATTAGGAGAGTAGCTACCCAGAGAAGGGCCCTTCTCTGCAGTGGCACTCCAATTGTGGAACATACTCCCCAGAGAGATGCACCTGGAGCCAACACTTTATTCTTTTTGGTACCAGGCCAAAACCCTTTTCCCATTAAGACCTTATTTTAATAGGGCTTTTTAGCAGCACATGTGATGCTGTGCCTTTGTTGTTGGACTGTCCTGAGACTTACATATAGGACAAGATACAAAAGTTTTAAATAAAGTGCCTTCCTCATCAAACCCGTGGTAATCTAGACACAGTAATGTTGGTGACATTATTCATATCTTTGAAAGCTGGATATAAGCATTTGCAAGGAAAAAGCTGTTAACTTACCTGAATATTTTTTTAAAAAATTAAGATGCCATCCCCACAATGTTGCTATACTTAATTTCACCAAGTGTTCACATTGGCTGATGGAAACCCATGTAAATGAGCGTAAGAATATTCAGCAAGAGATTCTCAAAAGCTGCTATTAAATCAGTGAGAGAAAATGACTCTTCCAGTAGACATTTGTAGTTTTCTGCAAAGCATCATTTCCAGTTATTACCAGCAGTCAAGGTAATACTTTTTGCAGATCGTCTACCTGATGTCCTCCTTACTGCACTGTAAGGTTATCCAATTCTCAGGAACAGCAATTCTGGAAACAGCAGGCTGAAATGGGAAGTGGTCATTGAAAAGTAAGCAACCTGCCTCAGGGCAAGTGTTTTAGATATATTTCCTCAAGTATCTATTTCTTCCCAATAACACCCTTGTTAATTTGCATTTTGTTCAAGTATGCAATAATTTGGGTACTTAAAATCAAATAGTTGTATTTATTTTATGCCTCAAAGTAAACACAGCCACCTACACAGATGGACAAGTCACTCAAGGCAGAAACCAGTTGAAAGCTATACTTTTCATGTAGTTAACATGTATTTTACACTTTTATTCTATAAAACTGCTAACATTAAAAAAGACATTTGACATACATTTATATTACAATTTCCATTATATAGAAAACAGAACAAAAGAATCCAGTTGCACATTATAAGAACAGACTCAGGATTCTCAGCAATAAATCCACAATATATTTTCAAGAGCATGTTTTAATTTAGCTGGAAGACTCAGTATTTTAAAAGATTATATCCTGTTCTGATGAAATTTTGTTGCTTATCTGAACCAAGCTGATATGTCACAGGGTTTAGAGTATTTGACATACACTTAGAATATAGCTTAGACACAAAGTCTCTCCATCTTTTAAGGGGCAATACCCAGATTGCAAATTGTGGACTCATATCTAAAGTGATTTTTTCCTGCTATTTTCATCCAAACTAGAATAGATTTGTGGAAAAACTGTTGGTTAAGGAAATTGACAAGAGGACTATTCTGTACAATATTAACTGCTTAAGTCAAGGGAAGCTGTCCTTTTTGTAGGCTACCATACTGTCGACTTTGTGTATTGTAGTTGTGAAAGAACGAAGACGAACTTCTTCAGAGTTAGCAATGAACTGTGGGCCTGACTCTTCCCACTTCTCTGGAACTTCCAAGTTTTTGTCTGTGAAAATGAGCAAGTCAAATGCACCTGCAAGAAAACACATTAATTTTACTATACAATAGGGGTGTTAAATAGCATGTAGTTCTTTGAGTGTATTTTATGGCTTGCTATCCACTCACAGCTCTCAAACATCTGACGTTCATATGAGTTCTTCCGGTGAAAAAGTCTTGCCACCCCACTATATAACTTTAAAATGAACTCTGAATCTACAATAAGAAATACCACTCACTGTCGGTAGGTAACAAGTGTGTGTATGCATGTGCATGGAGGCAGGGAGCACAGAAAGGGAACTAACAACCACCTTCTCATCTTGCAGTGTTTTAATTCATGCACAAATTTATGATGCATTTCTTTACACAAGTTAGGCACTGACCCATAGTTGGTCACTGTCTTGTCTACTTTGATACTCATCCAGTTTGAAAGGATTCTTTTGGAGTTGTTCATCTGCTTGAAATTTATAGAGCCATGTGTTATGTCACCTGACTTCCCTGCTTACCTGGTGAAGAACAGGTTTAACAACACTTGTCCTGATGCAGATATATCATTTACTTTCCTTAAAACTCTTTGCTTATTTTAATTTTGTTCATTACATTTGTATTTCACCCTTTTGCCTGCAAGGAATCCAAGACAGCTTACATCATAATCCTCTTACCCATTTTATGCTTACAACCACCCTGTAAAATAGGTTAAGGTGAGCATTAAGGAAAGGCCCTACATCACCCAGTGAGCTTCAATGGTTCAATGGGGACTAGAACCTGGATTTCCCAAATACCAGTCCAGTGCTCTAATCACTACACCACACTGGTCCTCTTGTTGAAGAACCTCCTACAGAAATTGTTAATGTTTGCATGTACAAAGATACAAAGCCACAATAGTTTGTTTCCTCAAATACTAAGAACAAACTGGCAAAGTTATTAGCATCACATTATACTTACATGCAGTTTCTAACAGAGGAAGAAATGTTACAGTGGCTGTTATCTGTCTGATAACAGACTTAATTTCATCTTGTATAGCTTTCTGAGACTTCTGTCTTGGTGCACTAAAGCAGCAGTAAAAAGTACACAAGCAATTTGACAATAATTAATCTATGTATTTGAGTACATATAAAAGAATGGTATGTTTGCATATTTAGAATATTCTTGGATTCCTCTTAACTCAGAGAATGTTTCAGGTAGCATACAATAAAATTAGAACATAAAAATACAAAAAGTCAAAACATTTTAAAAACTTTTGTGAGCAATCATTATCCACCCCCCCACACACACACCATTGTTCCCAGTCAAATGCTTTAGTTACTGTTCATTCCCTAAGAAAGGTTATAATTCCCTTCACTGATTCGTCTAGCCATATTTGCTTGTGCTTTAATTTTTTGACAATATGCAGTCCCTAGCATGGCAAAAAGAGTCAAATTTATAGCCCTAAACAAGCTGGTTTTGAAAAAATGTTAATTGTGTAAAATTTTAAAATGAAAACTACTCATTAGATAGCAGTTGTAACTAATATTTTTTCCGGGATCATATATGTACATTTATTCAGTCTGGATGGCAATGATCAACTTTTACAACTGAGGGACTATAGATAGCAGTTGAGGAGTATCAGTGATGGAAAGCTTGGGATGCAGCTTGGGATGCATACAGGCATGTTACAGTCAGTTTGAAAGTCTGCTCTTCTGTTTGCAAGAGCTATCCGGTGGATTTTCTCCACGAAGTTAAAGGTTGGCTATATAGAGTTCATTCTCTCTCTCTCCCTCTCTACTCCTTTGAAGAGGGAGTAACTTCATTTAGTTCAAAATGAATCAACTTGTCTGTTACTGGAAATGTGCTGTTAGAATACATCAGTATTCAAAAGAAAGCACTGTATCCTTACTTACGAGCTATTAAACACCATGATTTTCAGAGAAAACCCTAATCAAAATTCTCTCTCTGAAGTTAGATGAAAAGTGAATTATTCAGTAATAGCACCTTTGTTATGTAATTCTTTCCTTTACTGACACATTAGCTTACTAGCTGCTTTGGAGAAGGAAAAATCTTCTTCCAAAACGCATTTAGATTGTATGATTAAATTGTTGCTGTTTTTCCAAGATTACTCTGCTTTGAACCAATTTCATGTGATTGGGGGCAAGGAATACAGTTCTGCATTTGAAAACACCTACACTTTCCATTATTTGAAACAAGGTTTGACTATGCTTACCTTTCATCCTTTGCAGTTTTATCACATTTAATGTCAAATTGCCACCTTTCAAGAACTTCACTGGTTTCCTTGCTAGAGATCACTACCACTAGTCGCTGAACTAAGCATTCGTAGAGCCACTCTGGAAAAGCATAGTTTTTTAAGACTATAAACTTTAAAAAACATTAACCAATTACAAAATCCATACACCCAATCAAACTTTTCACAAATTGTCACCCTCACTTACATAAGGTACATGGTTCAGCTGTGTCCAGAAAAATGAGCAAGAGTGATAGGTAAATAGTAAGTTCAAATATCATGCCTATGATTAAATGAGGCGCCTTAACTATTTATCAGGAATGATCAGCTTCTGTATTCTTGGGGTGGATGGGGGAATCTTTTGTTTCATCCTACAGTCAGGAATCTAAAGTGTACAAACTGACTCTTTTGGATTAGTTCGAGCTCTAAGTCAATTGCTACCATCTACTAGTAAAGATGGCATAGTTGTGGCATAGTTGTATGTGCAAGTCTCCACACACTGCATCTTGATTAGCTAAATCCATTGTTGCAGCTGCAATTAACTCAGGACACGTGACCATCTTGTCCAGCATTCTCTTCTTAGATTGGCCAACAAGTTACCTGTGGAAAATTCCCAAGTACATGAGTGTAACAGCATCATGCTGGTCGTGTTCCCCTGCAACTGATGTATATAGACATATTGCTTTTGACACTGAAGATCATATATAGCTATCTAAAATAGTAGCTGCTAATTTGTTAAGCCTCCTGGTGCAATTAAAAAGTATTTCTCTGTTGAACAGGATCCAGTTCACCATCCAAAGTAGTTCATTCTCATTATATATATTAACACGTTCCTAAAAGAGCATCAATTCAATACATGGAAGCACTATAAATTTGATATTTAAACAGAAAACTGGCTTTTAGCACATTATAAAATTTGGTAATGGAACCAATCATTTTGTACAATTAACTATAGCTTGATTCCAGGTATGACTTAGTGCCTCTGTTTGGTTGTTTCCCTGCTCCTTCTGTTCTTTTTGTCTTGTCTTTATTAGATAAAGAAAATGACAAGTTTTCATCCTATGTACATCAGCTAGAAAACTATCTGTGCTTTATTCATGATACCTTTTAGCTGTTCCACTACTTTGTTCAAATAGTTTTTAAGTCCAGCATCTGCAGTTACAAGCATAGTTAGTCCATATTTTTGAACATGTGTAAAGGTTTCAGCAGGATAGATCCCACGTTGGTACAAGATACTATTGATGCCATATGCTGAAAGAGAAAAAGATATTCACATGATACAATGCAAGGACCAACCCCTTTTTACACCTGGCTTTTCTATTCCATTTTTTTAGGCTGCATGCACAAGATGCAGGTTTTCATTAGCAGCAATTTTGTGGCCAGCTGCTCTTGAAAGTACTGAGATATTAGCTTAGGGAAAAGACCTGTCTGGCTCCCCGAACAACCCCATAGGGAAGTAGGAAAAAGTCTGTTGCTATTTTCTTAAGACTGTTATCAGATAAGGTGTGTATAACACTGCATTATGAAGCTTACTTTAAAAGGGTCTGCATATCTACATCTAAAGCATACAAATAGCAACATTTAAAGCAAATGAAGACCAGGACTCCAATGCTTTTTGTGTGAGTACATTATCTTTTCTTTCAGTGCAACTCTGTGGTAAACTAATGCTACTCCTTCCAAAAACTTTTTTCATTTCAAAATATTAAATGTTGACACTGCATCCCTCAATATGATATCTTGTCCAGTTATACCTGGTTATTTCTCTGAATTTAAGACTATATTCTTTCATGTATACAACAGGTTACTGTATTCTTTAAACTCATTATTTACTCCCCACATCATAATTTTATCCAGGGAGTAGAACTGAAAATCTACAGCCTGTGAAACTCATACAGAGTAAATTATGATCAGTAGGAGTATCCTGCAAACACTCAATGTTGTTCTCTTACATTCTTTCAGGTAGGCAAGGTAATAAATCAAAGTGTCTATGAACAATTATGGCGAACCTTTTGGAGACCGAGTACCCAAATTGCAACCCCAAACCCACTTATTTATCGCAAAGTGCCAACACTGTAATAAAACCTGAATACTGAGGTTTTAGTTTAGAAAAAACAACTCAGTCCAAGCAAAATATATAAATCCTTGGCAGCGCACTGACCAGCCATGTGAAAGCTCGGATGAGTCGCAGCTCGTGATATCATCACCTGGCACCACTACTCCTTTCCGAGCTGTGCATGGCCCCTATGTGTGCTGTTATCTAATGCTTGGCTGCTGGGGCAACTTAGCTTGCATGCAAACAGAGAGGGCTCTGTGTGCCCACTGCGGCACATGTGCCATGGGTTCGCCACCACTGATTTATAAGATCTTCCTGATTTTCCTGAATAATTTCCAAAGAATTATTATACTGATATCAGCACCAATAATGTACAATTAGTCTTTCTAAGTGCAAACAAAACTTAGTGTGTTCCAGTATTTTCCTCCCAAGAGTATCCATAAAGACACTCCTGGAAAAACTCAAAACATGGGGCAGGTGCACAACTACTAGCATCAAATAATTAAAGATATACAGCCTCCAACATGGAGGTCCATTCTTACAAATCCTACTTTTTGCCAAAGGAAAAATATGAATTAACATGTTACAACACAAGGACTGACACCAAAAAATGGAACAAGCATTTTCTGAGGAACTACTAGATCCACAAGGCAGATTTGAGACACAACTCCTGCCAGTGTGGTGCAGGAGTTATAATGTTGGACTGGGGATGTGGGACGTACAGCCATGAAGCTGACTGAGTAACTTGAGGCCAGTCATGGACTTTCAACTTGCTACCGCACAAGAGTTGATGAGGATTAAAAAATAGAGTGGAGGACTATTTAAGCCACCTTGAGTTCCTCACAATAATAAGGAAGCCAAAATGTAATTTTTACATGCCTAGTTAGAAGTCTACTAGTTTTAATGAGGATTAGTCCTAGAACAATTGGCATAACACTACCGCCTTAAACACTTCATTGTACGGTTCTCTGTAGCTAGGAGGCAATTTGTTCTATATTACAGTGGAAGCTTCCCGGGGCAGAGTCCTGCCATCCGATTCGCTCCATGAACTGCAGGCTGAAAGGTGCACTCTTCTGACACAGATGACATTAAACATTAAAAATGTTTTAATAAATAATAAATAAATAAATTATGGGCCACTACTTATTGCGAAGAACCTAATGCTGGGAGCGATTGAGGGCAAAAGAAGAAGGGGACAGCAGTGGATGTGGTGGCTAAATGGAGTCACTGAAGCAGTTAGTGTGAGCTTAGGGGGATTCTGGGGGATGGTGGAGGACAGGAAGGCCTGGAGGAGTGTTGTCCATGGGGTCGCGATGGCTCGGACATGACTTTGCGACTAACAACAACTTATTGCGGGGACTGAAGACAGCGGCCAGCTCTCTCCTCGCTCCAAACCACCCCGTAGCCGCAGCTCGGGCGCCATTCCGCCCTCGGCGCTCAGTATTGGCATCAGCCGCCCGATCACTTGCATGTCTATTCGAAAGAAAGTTTCACAGAGCTTGCTCCCCGATAAGTGATTTACCTCGGAGCAAGCCCCAGTCCGCGGAGGGCGGCCTGTTTCCGAGCTGACATGCCAAGTCTTCCTGCTGTGGTGACCCAACCCAGGAGCCCACCTCCTTTTTGCTACTCACAAAAGAACTCGGCCACAGTCTCGGCGCTACCCCGCAAAGTGATGCCCTGCTCCCGGCTCTGCTGCTTCGCCATCGGCGGACAGAGAAAAAGAGTGTCGATGGCTTCGAATATTAAAAAAAAAGGCCGCGGCCCCGCGTCCGAACGGCTGGACCCTTCCCGAACTCGTAGGCCTTCCCGCCACCCGGTTCAAAAGCTAGTCCCGCCCCCTTCGCATCACGCGGAGAGGAAACGCCAGGCCGCCTTGGCTTCTTATTACGCAGGCGCAAAGAGCGTCCGTGCGTGCGGGAGCAGCGTATCCTCCACCCTCCCCTTATGTATGCGCATGCGCAGAAGCTGTATGTTCCGCTGTGTTCGCGACGTTGGGAGTCCGGTGTCGTGCAGGGTATTTGTTTTGTGTTTGCAGCGACGGGGGAAGGAGAGTTGCACGTTAGTCATGAGGCGGCAATGCTTATCATTTCGCCTCATTAAGAAAATGACAAGACTCCTGGTCTCGTAAATTGTGGGCCACTGTTTCAGCGACCGAGAGCGCAGTCCTTTGCATGTTTAGACAAAGTCCTACAACTTCCAACGTTCCCCAGGAATGGCTATACCTGCAAAGCGCTGCTCCTTAAGTGGCTTGTGCATTCAGACGTTGTTTGTACAACCTCAGTATTCTCTTGAGGAGGTAGGCAGAACTGAGGTGTACTAGAGCCATTATTACTCTAACTTAATTACTGTGATTAGGCCGGGAGGATTGGAATTGAATGCAGTTGTCAGGACAAAATGCACAAGAGCCTTAGTAGGTTATAAAAGCGTCTTGCACAGAATCTTACCTTGGTACTCCCTTTGGGGACTGTCTACATGCAAACGTATTTGCTTGTGTGTCCAAAAAAGCTGTAAATGTTCTTTTGATTTTACACCCCCAGGAAAATGAGTGTTTTTTCACTTTTAACATAGTGGAGATGCCTTTTAATACTGCAAACAGGAAGAAACCTTCAGCCAGCGGAACTGCTATATAACCATACTCGGTGGGGAATTTCCAGATTCCTCCTGCCCCAGGGGCTTTTTGTGTGCACATTGGCTCATGTTCTCAGATTGGTGCATCTCACTTCATCAAGCAATACTGAGAGGGCTTGCACAACTGTAGTGCAATGTACAAGCAGAGCTCATCCAAGCAGTATTGAGATGTGTTATTGGACCAGTTGCAAGTGGAACTGTTACTAGCACAAATTTTATTTATTTATTTATTACATTTGGTTGCCACTCCCTATGCCTCCCCCTACTTGAAATTTAGTTCATGCCTTCCTTGGAACCTAACTATGAGCCTAGTTTCCATTAGTGCAGTGGACATTGCACTAAATTTGAAATTAGTATACTTGAAGTTTCATTGAAATGAGTCAGCCTTATTAAGAAGGATTGGTTTGCACTTTCTCATGTCTGAATTCAGAACCAGTCTTATCAGTTATTCAGAACAAGGTGATATTGGGCTCAAGTAGAATCACTACTCCTTTAAAATTGTATGTGGAGAAGTCAGTTTTTTGTGTTTCCCCATTTTTTAAACAACCATCCCTAAAGGAAGAAAAGCGTCTGATCAAAGAGAAAGTTGGAGCAGAAAGTTTTGTATTTGGGAAGATTAAAAAGTGTATCCCACTGCTATCTGGAGTAGTATACTCCAAGTTTGAGATCAGGGTGATGGAATAGTTAACTCAATTGAGATCTGGGCTTAGATTCCTGGTTGGTCATACATTTAATTAGGTGACCTTAAACTAATCACATTCTTGGGTGGATAAAATGAGTAGAACAAAACCATGAGCCCTGAGCTCCTTAAAAGCAGGTAAATGAGATTCATAACAAGAATTCTGTCTCCCTATTCTGTATACTGTATAACTCTTTATTGGAGATAAATTCCACAGCCACAGATTGAATAATACATAAGGATAGTGTTTGATAGTGACCTCTAGTGACTAGATTTTATCAATACATGTCCTACCTAAGGGAATTTGATCAATTTCATCTTTGCTACTTAAAATACTTTAAGAATTAATTTATGTATATACAGCTGAAAAAACATGTGAAATATTCAGCACCATGCTAATTCTGATTCCAGACTGTTGTTTCTAAAAGTAGTGCTGAAAAAGAGACATTGGTAGGCATTTAAAAGATGTGAATTACAGGGCCACAGGTAAGAAAATCCTGTCTGCTAATTTATATTTATATATGCAAACCCAGAAACAGTTACCAAAACTGATATATATTTCACAGAGGGTAAAGCCAGCCAATTAATTGTTCATCTAAATAGACCCAAATAAAATAAATCTTTAATTTACACCTCACTCCCAGATTATCTCAATTCAAAATAGCTGTGGACAGTTGTGAAGAATAAACCAAAAGTGATTGGTGTGCTTGTTTTTTCATGAGCCCTTTCTCACAGGTCACTCTCTACAATACAGTAGGGAAGATAGGACTGCACAAGTGAAGAAGCAGTTCTGGCTTGAGCATCTACCCAAATAAATGATGGTTTCAACCAAGTGTCAGTACAACAAAATTCAGGAAGGCACACCATGTCCATAAGCTACTGAAGCAGCAACATCTTTGGTAGAATGTGTCCTTACTTGTCCAGTGAATTCTAGGGCCAGCTACTTCATGCAGCAGTTATATGGTGTGAACTACACAAGATGCAAAACCATGCAGAGGTGATTGGGAAGCCTTTGTAATCTCCACAGCAGATAAAGAGCCCAGGTGACTAAGGAAAAGCCCTTTTTGACTTAGCATTTTATAAGTCTCAACAAAATCTTATTTGAACTTGATGGGTTTCCAGTAAAAGGAAGTCTTCCTTCTCCTCCCATCCCCCAAACGTTAGAGGCATTCTTAGCATTTGGGGGTCATGGTGCCATCCACAAACACAAGGGGGGAATTATTTTTATTATCAGCTGCCCAAAAACTGAAGGTTAAAAAACAGCCTTGCATAACAACAGAATTCAGTGTAAACATAATTTTACTACATTAGTAGTGAAGTGAGCAACCCTATTGACCCTAGACAGCATCTGGGGTGCTATAGGATGCTGCAGAGTTGCTTCTTTGTTCGTGTATATGGAGCTACCAGCACAGAGACAAAGATCCAGTTGTGGATCTTCCCCCACTTCTAGCTTTTGCTTTTCTCTCATACAAGTCAGAAAGAGTATGTGCTGGTGGGCAGGAAGGTGAGACCAGTATGTGAGTCAGGTAGATTGGCTTGGAGGCCATTCGGGCTGCATTTTGTGATTTGAATGGAGGCAAAATGGCCCCACTATTCCTACCACCTTACCTGGCTTTTGCCAACAGTTGGACAGCTCCAAATTCTGAACCCACTGTTTACTGAAAGTGCAACCCATAGGATTGTGTTCTAAAGTGGTTCTATAGTTCTTGTCTGTAATACTTGAATCAGTAAAAATAATTTTTACTGTGACCCCCCCTCCCTTCCACCTTATGGGAACTTGTCCTATATCTGCTTGCATCAAATTAGCACTTTCTCTGTTGCAGTGACAATTTTGGAAAACATGTTTTCTTTTTCCCAAGAAACTGAAACACTTCTTTTCTATTGGGCATTTATTTGCACATCCCAATGTGTTGATAGTTAGATGCTATTTTCATTAACATGCCTGCTGATCTTGCTACTGCTAATTAAAGAGCACATTTACAGCATTATAAGCATTTTTGTGGTTGCAGTTAATCAAGATAATTAGTATGCTGCTGCTTTAGAAAAAGCGTCATTCCTTGAGCACATCAGAGAAGGCTTTCAGTTCTGCAGGTTCTGTTCAGGAGGGTCTTCTCTGCGGATGAGGAAGGAGTTATAAGCAGTGATAAGATTATGGTTCAAACTTTTGATCAGAAGAATAAAGCAGTACTTTATACCAGCAACATTTGAAGGGAATTGGTATTAGTATTTATTACATTTCTATACTTCCTGTAACCAAAGCTTTCTGAGCAGTTCACAACAGGATATAAAAATAATAAAATACAGTACATAAAACAACATTAAAACAGCACTGAAATACTTGAAAAATGTAATTTAAAAAAAGCCAAGAAGAAAGGAAAAAAGGCACCTGGGATTACCACGGAAGTCTTTAAAGGCCTCCATAAAGAGGGCTGCCTTAACCTGGTGCTGAAAATTTGGTGTCCTGCAAGCTGCAGTAGGGAGGTGGTTCCTAAAGGGGGGGGCACAACATAACCCTCTTACCCTCGTGAAAGCTTGGCATTCAGAGGAAGGCTCCAAAGATTGTGCATAGTATCTGGGTAGATTGCGGTTGGGAGAGGCATTCTGACCAAAGTTATGGTCCCAAGCCATGTGGGGTTTTATAGGTTAAAACCAGCACCTTGAATTGGGACCAGAAGTATACAGGCAGCCAATGCAGGCAGGCCAGAACAGGTCTTATATGATAAGATCACCTGGTCCCAGTTATTAATCTGGCCACTGTGTTCTGCACCAGCTGCAGCTTCTGAATCATCTTTAAGGGCAGTCCTATGTAGAGTGTGTTGCAGTAATCCAATCTAGAGGTTACTAGAGCATAGATTATGGAAGCCAGGCTATCCCTGTCCAGGTAAGTAAGGCATAGCTATACCACCAGCTGAAGTTGGTAGAAGGCATTCTGATGCCACCTGAGCCTCAAGTGATAAGATGGATCAAGAAGTATCACCAAGATATGAACCTTGTCCTTCAGGGGGAGTGCAACCCTTTCTAGAACAGGGATACAAGGGTCTTGTACCCCCCCTTTACATTATTTGACAATGACTTTAAAAGGGAATTGCTATTTTCAATAAACAGTTAATGCAGGAATGCTAGGGGTGTGCAATCAAAAGAACACTACAGTTTATTCAGACATGAAGCATGTAGGTAGCCCCAAAAGCAACTGTAAAGATGGATTCTGTACTTTTATAATATATTAGTTTTGCTTTTATAATTTATTAATTGTGTAGGCAGGATGCTTTTATAATCTATTTTATGATAAATGCTTTTATAAAGTCTTAGTTATGTAGGCAGTCTGGAAGAGGGTGGGCAATCAGGTGGGCACTTTGTGAGAAGCACTGTGAGAATGGAAACAAAAGGGTTCAATGGATTAAGACAAGGAACAAATGGGAAAGAAGTTTC